GCAAGAAGACGCTGTGTGGGACCCCCAACTATATCGCCCCAGAGGTGCTGGGCAAGAAGGGGCACAGCTTTGAGGTGGACATCTGGTCCATCGGCTGCATCATGTGAGTCAAAATGCCTTTGCAAGGCGAGGGGGGTGGGTGGTCCCTGTGGTCCTGGTCTTTTTGGCCCATCTGAGCTTTGGTGTGAGCCAAAGCTCCAGGTCACAGTCTGTGGAGCTCCTGGCTGAGCCCAGCTGCCAGCCAGCACCTGACCTTGCCTGTGCTCTGCCGTGCTGGGGTGTGTGTCTGTGGGCTGATAGGTCCTCAGTGTGACTGTCCCAGGGCGTTTCCCAAAGGCATTTCCCATTCTTAACTGGAACTTCCCCCACAGGGTGCTAGATCCCAGCTTCCCTTTCCAGGGAAAGGGAAGCACAAGTACAAGTAGCTGTTAGCGCTGCTGAGTGTCCAATGCCAAGTGTGTTCCCTCTGCCAGGAAAGCCCCCAGGTGTGCTTAGAAGAGGGTCACTTCCCCACAGAATCTTGAGTCTCTTTTGCAAAACTGATGCCCTTTTGTCTGGGAATGCCCAGGTACACTCTGCTGGTGGGGAAACCTCCCTTTGAGACTTCTTGTCTAAAGGAAACGTACCTCCGGATCAAGAAGAACGAGTATACCATTCCTAAGGTACGGTGCTTGCCATGGAGGATCCATTCACCTCACAGCAGTTCCCTGTCAGCCTTCTGCTGCACCCCTGGCACTTGTTGGGCTCTCATGTAACAGGGCAGTGGCTGTTACTGCTGGGTGGGGACAGTTCAGTCTGTGGTGGAGTGAACCTGTACAGGTTCCTCCTGAGGAGCCAGCTGGTGTCTGCCCCCCAATCCAGCAAAAATCCGAACTGGGCAGTTGGCACATGAGGGTGAATGGACACAAGCAAGTCCATGAGGTCTGGGCCAGGTCCCCAGTTCATCCCACTGCTGAGTCAGTCTTGCTCAAGTCAGTTGACTTCAGGCTGTTAGGAGACAGCTCTCTGTGCTGCCAAATTCTGCTTCCCCAGGCTTGTGTCCTGTTTTCCTGATGCAGCACTGGAGCTCTGCTCCAAGCAGAACTTCCCTGGGTCGTGAATCCAGTTGGTCTGTCTCTAGTGCATGTTGCCCACTGGCCTCTTTCTCTAAACTCCACCTGTCCCTCAGCACATCAACCCTGTGGCTGCGAACCTCATCCAGAAGATGCTGAGGTCTGATCCTGCCACACGCCCGACCATCGATGAGCTGCTGAACGACGAGTTCTTCACCTCAGGCTACATCCCCAGCCGCCTGCCCACCAGCTGCCTCACGGTCGCGCCCCGGTTCTCCATCGCTCCCAGCGGGATGGAGCTCGGGCGGAAACCGCTGACGGCGCTCAACAAAGGTGAGCGTGAGTGCACCTGGTGGTGCTCAACAAAGGTGAGCGTGAGTGCCAGTGCCTGTGTGCTGGACAGAGCCTGCCTGGCCTACAGAGCCTGCCTGGCCTCCGGCAGCATCCAGAACCCTCAGTGTGGCACTCCCATCATCTCCTGATTCTCATGGAAACTCGGACCATTTCGTGGTCGAGGGGGCTCTCCTTGCTCTACCTGGGAACAAAGTGGGGAGGAAGTACAGCAATAGCTGTAGCTCTGTGGTGATGGGCACAAAGGTGCACATGAAGTTCTACCTGAACATGAGGAAGAACTTCTTTCCTGTGCAGGTGACACACACTAGAACAGGCTGCCCAGAGAGGGTGTGGAGTCTCCCTCCTGTGCCATGTGCTCTGGGATGATCCTGCTTGAACAGGGAGATGGGACCAGATGCCCTACTGTGGTTCTTTCCAACGTGACCCATTCTGTGTGTAAGGTGTTGCCTATACCTGCCTTCGGAAACCTCTCCCTGGTCACAGCCTCAGACTCTCCTTTCTCCTGGCCCAGGACTGGACAGCCCTGCACTGGAGAACTTGCCAGACAAGGAGGATGCAGCGGGGCTGCGGGAGGTGGGAGATGCTGTCACCTGCCACCTGGCTGACATGTTGCAGCAGCTGACAGCAGTCAATGCAGCCAAGCCCTCTGAGAGAGTGGCGGTGAGACAAGGTGAGCCTGGGGCAGCCCATGGGCTTTGTGGGGTGCACAGCGTGTGGAAAATGTCTCCTAACAAGCTCCTTTCTTCTTGCAGAAGAAGCCGAGGACCCAGCCTGCATTCCCATCTTCTGGGTTAGCAAATGGGTGGACTACTCAGATAAATATGGACTAGGTAAATACTGTGGGGGCAATGCTTCAGGCTTTCCTGATGTCTGAAGGGGCTGGGGAAAGCCAGAATTTGGGTCTTTAATCACCACGTTCCTGTGATGTGTCCAAGACCACTGCCAGGGATGTCACCAAATACCCAGAGAATTCAGAGCAGTGGTCACTGAATATCAGCCCTGGCCACTTCCAGGTGGACAGGGGTTACCTGTGCATGAGACAGCCAGGCTCTCCCCAGCCTGCACAGGGACCCACAGTGGCAGCTGAGGCTGTTTCTGCAGCAGGTGATGCAGTAAGGGAGATGACAAATGCAGAGGTGAAAAAGTGCCTCCCAGAACTCCCACAAGGAGACCTGGCAGGGACTGGTGGGGTGCCTTTTGGGGGTCCCCTGGGGGATACAACCGTCTGCCTTTGTGTTTCCCATGGCTGGTGGGAAACTCCCCTGAGTTTGCAGCCTCACGGGGTCCCTTTTGGGCAGGTTACCAGCTGTGTGACAACAGTGTCGGGGTTCTCTTCAACGACTCCACTCGCCTCATCATGTACAACGATGGGGACAACCTGCAGTACATTGAGCAGAACAGCACTGAGTCCTACTTCACCGTGAGGTCCTACCCCTCCACCCTGAACAAGAAGGTCAGTCCTGGGGAAGGCAAGCCTGGCTTGGGGAGTGGTGAGACTCCTGCCAGCCTTGGGCTTTGGTGGCAGGGTGGGTTCTAGAGAGAAACATTTCAAACTGGGGGTCACCTGGCACTCTTAGGCTTCCTCTGGCTGGTGACACATGGCCCCAAGGACAGACACTAGCATGTCTGTTTCTCTCTACTGTCTGAGGCTCATTTATGAGCAGTATCACAGAAATAAGTGCTCGCGTGACTTGCGTGTACTGAAGTGTTCAGCAGAGGCTGAAGTGTCACAGTCTGAGTTAACTTTGAGGATTTGCACAAGTTTGTGCAGTGGCACCTCAAGCTGTGAAGGATGTAAGGAGGCTCTGGGACTGTGATGGCAGCCCCGGGGTCACCCTCAGCTCCTCACAGCCCGTCCCATCTGCAGATAACACTACTGAAGTACTTCCGGAACTACATGAGCGAGCACCTGCTGAAGGCAGGGGCCAACATCACACCACGGGAGGGGGACGAGCTGGCCCGCCTGCCCTACCTCTGCACCTGGTTCCGGACCCGCAGCGCCATCGTCCTGCACCTCAGCAACGGCACCGTGCAGATCAACTTCTTCCAGGTGAGGCCCTTCCCGGGGCTGTGGCTCCAGCTCCTCAGGGACTCTGGCTGCACGTGGTGCTGCTGGGAAGGCGTCAGGAGGTGATCACCCGAGCCAAGGCTTTGCCCAGGAAGCTGAGCACTGGAGGCTCCTCACTGCCCGTGCTGGTACCTGAGCCCCCTGGATGTGCCTCGCTCATGGAGGGGCCAAGCTCTTGAGCAGCAGGGAGGGTGCTGCAGTCAGTGCTGAGCTGGCTGTGCCCCTTTGCTGCACTCTGAAGGAATTCTGCAGCAGGGCCTTGTCCCCATGCTGTGGATGTGGCTGGGATGGTACATCCACAGGAAATGCTGTCCCTGAGCAGCACGGTGCTCAGGGTGATGACCGTGTGTTCTCTCCCCCCAGGACCACACCAAGGTCATCCTGTGCCCTCTCATGGCTGCTGTCACGTACATAGATGAGAAACGGGACTTCCGCACGTACAAGCTGAGCCTGATCGAGGAGCACGGCTGCTGCAAGGAGCTGGCCAGCCGGCTCCGCTACGCCCGCACCATGGTGGAGAAGCTCCTCAACTCCAAGTCTGGCTCGGGCCGTGCGAAACCTTCTGCTTAGACCTCGTTCCTGCTGGACTCAACGTCTGTGCCAAACTGCCCAGCTGTGGAGGGAGAGGTCTGGGAGCTTCCCTCCTGTGGCACAGCTGGGCTCCCACTCTTGGATATGGGCTCATTGCCACAAGGAAGCCCCTGTTGCTGTGGGAACAGTGTTGATCACTCTGACTGATGCCCAAAGGTTTCTTGATCCCCACTCCTAATGGAGTGGGTTTTTTAATTCCTTACCTAGTCTGTTTTTCTAACTTCCCAAAGCCAAAAACCTGGCTCCAAACCAGCCCTCTTGTTTGAGGCACCTGGGCCTGCTCTTGAGAGAGCAGAGCAGGGGCAGAGCAGAGCTGTCACGTGAGGTGTCTGTATGTGGCTGTGCCCTTGCCTTGGGCTTCGTTTCCTCTTGTAGAAGCTCAGGTAAGGTATTGAACATGCCCAGGGTGAGACCGAGCAATCGGCCTTTTAATACTGAAACTACACGAAACCTCAACTTTTGTATATTGCATAACTTGATTAAAGATTGTTTGCCGCAGCGTCCAGCCTGTCGCAGTTTCCTTTGGTTTGCTGAGGGAGGGAGCAGCACCTCTGCCTTCCCCTGTGACTGAGAGCCATCCTCTTACCCTTCAGCCCGGGGCTGGGCATGCCTCTCACTCTGCTCCACTTGACAAGGAGCAAGAGGGAAACTGGCAGAGGGTGATGGGAAGTGGGGAGGGGAATAAGTTGTTTTGGGAGATGCTCTTGGGAGCAGAGAAAGGGGGGTGAGCTTACTTCTCCAGTGTTGGGGAACCTTCCCCTTTTGCAGATGCTTGGCTCTTTTACCACATGGTTACTAATTATGAGTACAGCATCAGCAGAAGGCATCTGCGGCAGACTCCTGCAGGAGCCCAGTGACCTCCAGGTATTCTCCCCCTACTACTCCCTGCCAGCACCAACAGGTGCTCTCAGGCCAATTTATTTTTAAGTGGGACAAGCTTTTTAGTTTTTATTTTTTATAACATTTTGTATAAACATATTCTGAAAAGAAACCAGGTACAAACCCTGTTACCTATGTAACAAAATCCCACATCCCAGCACCCACAGGAATCAGACTAAAACTACTGCTGTTCCACAGAGGAACTTTGCCATGGGCCTTCATGTGCCTGTGCATCCAGTCGATACTGGAGGCTGGCTAATGGGGAACATGTGCCCATGGGCACGCCATGAACCACAGCACCCATGGGACTTGGGCCCGGGGCAGCAGAAGAGGCTGGGGGAGCTTCAGGCACAGCCCTGTGTTTGAGGGAAGGGATCCCTCGGGAAAAGTGAGTTCCCTGCTTTGTGCCCAGAGACAACTGCTCCCAAACTGCTGTGTGACCTGCTCAGGGGCTCAGGCCTGGCACAGGCACAGATTGAAAGGGAGACAACCTTGTTCTCAGCCCAGCTGAGATTCAAACCTTCATTCAGGGAGCTGTGCTGGAGGCCCCCAAGTGCTGCAGGGCTGTGCCCTTGCAAGCCTGGATACAACAGGCAGGTCCCAGTCGGGTGTGGCTGCTCAGCGCTGCCTGGCTGAGCACAGCTCACAGTGGGGCTGAGGGCTCAGCTCCAGTGTCAAGACTGGGGTACTGGTCCTGGTCACAGCTCAAACAGCTGTGTTCCCAGGCATGTGGCACAGGAGAATGCCCTGGACAAAGCTCTCTGATCCCCAGTGAACATCCCACCGTGACCAGTGCGGCCTGAGGGCCTCGCTGTGCCGGGGCATCACTGCTACTGCCCTTGGGAAAACACAACGTGCATTTTCCTCTTTCTCCAAGCACCCAGTCCACACCAGAGAGATCTTTGTTCTCTGACCCACGTGCCTTCAGGCCCCTGAGTCTGACTGTGAGTGTTTGCAAGGTGGGTGCCCAGAGGGTCCCTCTTGGGCTCAGGGGACCCCAGGCGAAAGCACAGTGCTGCCCTTTGCCCACCTCTTCCGCACTGTGCTGCTGGTAATGCCCCGTATGCTGGGCACCCATCTGGCCCCGGGGAGAGGGAGAAGGACCCCCAGAGCCCCCGGGGCTGTGGGCACAGGCCGGGAGGAGCGGCCGCAGCAGCCTCGCGGTGCCGTGTCCCCCTCAGGCGCCGTCGCCCCGCAGCCCCTGGCAGTAGTAGGGGTGGAAGATGCGCTCGTGGGCGCAGACCCGCATGGCCCCGTGTGTGTGCAGCAGCAGCCGCGGGAAGCGGGAGGTGAAGTACTGCACGAAGCCCTCGGGGACAGAGCCCAGGGCTGCCTGAACCTCGGCTGGCAGCTCGTGGTAGTGGTGCTTCTGCAGGAGAGAGGGTGAGGTCAGAGACAACAGGGACAGTGGAATGGCAGGGGCAGGGCAGCAGGGTGACCGTACCTTGTTCCTCATGGCCCGCAGCAGGTCACGCACTGACCCCCCCTTGTAGGTGCGGAACTTCCTCAGGTCTGGGGAGAGCAGAAGAGACACTGAGCAAGGTGGGACACAGTGGGGCAAGGGGCTGCCACAGCCCTGTAGTGCCAGCACCACCCCCGGGTGCACCAAACCCCGGCTTGGTTCTACTCTCCCAAAGAAGGGATGGCACCTTTACCTGCCCTGGTTTTCAGCTCCTGGGCATGAGCAGGTGCCTCCCGGCCAGTAAAGGCAGCCTACTACTTGTCTGCTCCCTATCTGCTTCACTAGACCCAGGGGCAAGCCTGGCCTCCCCCCATGCTTACCCATCTGCAGTGGGAGGGAGATGTGCATCCTCCAGTTGGTTCTCACCACTGCTCGTGCCCCTGATTCCAGGGCTGACACGATGGGACCCTCAGCCGGCTCCTTCTCCACACGGTCGCTGACGTCCTGCGTGCCCAAGAGCAGGGATGGGGTGGGTATCACACTGCCCTCACCCCATAGAGAGCCAGCAACCCCTCAACCCCTTCCAAAGGTAGTTCAGAATAAGCACGTTGACCTCAACCCAGCCATTCCCAGCATGTTCTTCAGAGCACACCTGTGTTCACTGTCAGTGAGACAGCACAGGCTCACCTGGAAGAACTGCAGCTGCTTCTCCTGACTCCAGAAAAAGGGATGCACAAGGACCACAGGGGCTGAGGGCCGGTGCTGGGGTTCAGGGCTGATCATCGCCACAATCAGCTCCCTTGCCACAAGCTTGTCTGGAGGTGAAACAACACAGCAGAGAAATCAACCCCCTGCCAGGACCAGGAGCTGCCCCTCGGCCCGGAGCTTCCCCACAGGGCCATGCCACTGGGGAAGGGTCTCAGCTGGGAAGGGTCTCACCATGAGCCTCCTCTTGCAGGCAGCTCAGCTGGTAGGAGCCTGCCAGGATGTTGGCCTGGCGCCGCAGGCTGTCCCCAAAGGGGTGCTGCCCCCCCGACACCACGTAGTAGAAAACACAGCCAGCTGAGAAAATGTCCACGGCGCTGGTCTGCAAAACACGGGGGAGATGGGACCTTCAGGCAAAGGCTGAGAAAAGCCTTCACCTCCCACTTTTCCGTCCTTTATGTGGACCATTGGCTGTTGGCTGCAGAGCTGCTGAAAAACACATTGCATGGGAGTCCCACCACCCGGGTCCCTGTCAGGGAAGGGGCTTCCAGAGGCACAGCCAGAATTCAGGACTCCACAGTCTGATGGGCACACTGAGGCTGCTGGTGTCCCATCAGCTGGGCAAACGGACCCCAGCCCGAGGGTATGGGAAGCTGCCAGCCCCAGCAGGCACCAGTACAGCAGCTGCTCCCAGCAGGAATGGGATTCCCAGCAATGAACAGAGGAGCAGAAGCGTGACCTTGGCAGCAACCTACAGCCCCTCCAACCTCCCCACTCCGAATTTCTGAGGGACGGAGCCCAATGAGGCACCCTGTGAACACAACTGGGCACTGTGCCCTGAGGACAGGGTGATTGGGGCAGCCACTGACCGGGGCAGCCCTGGCAAGCAGCACAGTGCCCGTGTCTGGGCTGGCTCAGGCTCACAGAGCTCGTCTTAACTGTGCACCCCAGCAGCGTGCACCAAGGTCACTGCCAGCAAGGGGACACTGCCACAACGGGCCCAAGGAGCACCCAGGGCAGGGGCAGCCATGGCTCACTGACAGGGTTCTCCTTCGGGGCCTCCTGCAGCACCTCGGGCGCGATCCAGCCCTCGGTGCCAGGGATACCAGAGTGGAGACTGAAGCTCTGTCGTCCCCCCTGAAGCTTCTTGCAGAGGCCGAAGTCTGAGATGACAGCACGGATCTGCCCGTGGCGATTTGGGGCAGAGATGAGGATGTTACAGGGCTTCAGGTCACGGTGGACTGGAAAAGAAAGTGTGTGGTGTCATCTGGCAGGGCTGGAGCAAACAGGGCTCTGCCAGTGCCCTGCACGCTGCCAACCCCGACAGCCCCTGCCTGAACCCCAACAGCCCCTGCCCGAACCCTGCAGCCTCGGCTGAGGACAGGATGCAGAGGGCCCTGCTGGCCCTTACCAATGCTGAGGGAGTGGAGATGGGCCAGCCCGGACATGGTCTGACGCAGCAGGGACACTGGGTCCAGCCCCCGGCGGTTGAAGCTGGGGCTCTCCACGTACTGGAACCACACAGAGGGAGAGAGAGAGGAACTGAGCCTGATTTACTGGGCAAAGGCAAGATTGACTGGGAGAGAGACGCCTCCCCAGGCTGACAGAGAGGGATGGAGACCAGCCTGTATGGAGGCTGTCTGTGCCCAAGGCTTTTGCTTCTAGGGCTCCCAGTGGGCCCCAGCAGCAGCCCCATGCTCAGGGCAGGCAGGGGCCGGGCTCACCTCCTGCAGTGTGGCAGAGCAGAGCTCGATGGCAATGTAGTGGAACTGCCTGTCCTTCTCGGTGCAGAAGTAGCGGACGACGTGGGGGTGCTCGTCCGACTCCCGGAGCAGTTGGACCTCACGGTCGAGCAGATGGACACACTCGGGCAGGAGCCGCTTCACGGCCACATTCCGTCCCTCGAACTGCCCCCTGTGCAGAGAGTCCTCAGCGTGTCCACGTGTGGCCCCCTGGCCAGAGCAGAGCCCAGTGCTGCTGCCCCATGCCCAGTGCCTGGTTACTGAGGGCCACAAGCCCAGCTCTGGGACAGGTGTGATGAGGACCAGAAGAAAGGGAAGGTGGCAGCTTGTTCTCAAAAGTCCCTGAACCAGCAGCCACCACCTTGGGCAAAAGCCACCTTGGTTCTGTCCCTGTGGCTCCCAATGGGAGCAGAATGGGGACAGGCACCTGGTGTCACCCACCTGAAGACAAAAGTTCCGCCAGCTCCGTGGCCCAGCACATCCTTGGGGTTAAAAGAAACTTTCCCAACTACAACCAGGTCTGGTTCTGCATCTGCAGGGGAAGAGAAGACAGCAATCCTTCAGCCTCCAAGCATTAGTTCTGTATGGAGGACAACTAGCTCTTTACCCATCTGGCCATTTCTTGGGCCCTACTCTTATGTAGCCCACATTTATCCAGCAGCAGGACCAGCACCTCCTCCCATCCCAGCTGAGCTGCAGCCCTCTCATCTGTGGGCATCCCTGCTCCTGTTTTGGGTGACAGCATCTCCAGACAGACAGCCCCACACCCTGCCTGTTCCCCCTGCACCCACCTGCAGCAGCCTCTGGGACAGCCAGACCTGGGCTCACCATCCCATTTGCCGGGTCCTCCAGGGGGGCCGAGGGGCCGGAGCTCTGCGAGAGCTCCAATGTGCTTCCTCGGTTCAGCCCCGGCTTCCCAGGCCCTGCAGAGACACCCTCCCCGGAGACCCGGCCTGGGAGCAGCATCTCCTGCTGCTGCTGCAGGAGCTGGATCTGCTCCTCCAGCTGTTGCTGCTGTGCCACGTGCTGCCGCTGCAGTTTCTGGAACACAAACGATGGGAATGCTCTGCTCCATGCCGGGAGTGCAGCTGGGGCATTGGCAGGGCTCAGCACAGCAGCGTGGACTCCACTGGCCCTCACCCGCCACCACCACTCACCATGAGCAGGAGGAGCAGGACTCCCCCACCCAGCAGAGCTGTGCCAACACCAGCCATCACCAGGTCCCAGGTGCCCTCGGGATACACCTCCACCTGCTCCCCTGGTGCGGGGTCTGGCTGGAGCTGCCCCTCGCTGCGCACAGCCGGCTCCTCCGGGCTGCTCGGGGCCAGGAACTGCAACACACGCCCGGGGCTGGGTGACACCAGAGGGACAGACTGCAGGGCACTCAGGTTTGGGACTCCCTCCCTGTCCTACCCAATGCTGGGGACCCACTGCCCACTCTAAGCAGCCCAGACCCCTCAGTGACCCAGCACCCTTCCCTGCTCACATCATCAAACACAGTCCTGGCAGGAGGAGCCCTGGGGATGATGGTTTCCGTGGTCTTCCTCAGGTTCTCCGGGAAGGCTCGCAGCATTGTGGTGTGGACCACGGGAGGCAGCTCATGGTGCCCTGTGGCAGAAGGGGAACAACCATCAGTTTGCTTCTGGTCACAGCATCTGTCCCTCACCTCTGCAGTGCCATGGGCACACCAGCAGCCCTGGCCCTCCTGGAGAAGGGGGGGTCACTTCTGATGAGACCCCCCAGCATGGGTAACAGTGAGCCCTGCTTCAAAGGGTCCCTGCCCGCCCCTGGGGGGGGGTGCCCAGTGGCCCTTCCTGGGGAGGGGAAAAGGATGGGCTGAAACCAGTCCCAAGCCAGAGTCACTGAAGCCCCTGAGGTAATGCACAGCCTCAGACCCGTTCACCCTACCGGGCAGAGCAGGTCAGGCTGTGCCCCCCAAAGAACACCAGCAGCTCAGGCTGCCCCCCCCAGGCACCCTCCTGGAGTCAGGACATGGGGAGGCCTGTGCCCACTGCAGGTCCACACCTATGAGGAGCCACTGGTTGTGGAGCGCGGTGATGCTGCCCTGCGGGTACTTGACGTCGGTGCTGGGCGTGATCTCGCACTCCCCCGACTCTCTCAAGGTCACGTCGTCCGTGGTGGGACCATCGATTCTGGCCAGTGTGATGCCCTGGGGCTGGGGGTGGCAGCTCATGGGGCACCGGCGCTGGGACAGGCGCCCGCCGCGCTCACCCCGAGCGGGGACACTCACCACCAGCGCCACACTGCCGTGCACCAGCGAGGTCAGGGCGTAGAAGCTGGTTGCATGCTTCCCCACATAGAGTGCTGGCCTGCAGGACAGGGACAAGCATCACCTTCCATCCATCACGGCTCAGGGTGGCCAAGCACTGGGAATGTGAATGCCACCACGCAGGAACCACGTACAGCAGCTGGGTCTTGGTGGCAGCAAAGTCCTTGATGGACTGGTAGCTCCACTTGAGGACATGGATGTCCTGTGACTGGAAGGTCAGGTAGCGCAGGGTCTCCATGGCCAGGTTGAGGTGCGGGATGCGGCGCAGGCTGTCTTGGTGCCACATGTAGATGCCGACCACGGGTGAGCCATAGTTCTGTGCCCACAGGACCTCCCCGCTGTCCTTGTCCAGGGTCACCACCAGCCCGTCCCCACTCGAGGCCAAGTGTGCCATTTCTGGGAGAGCAAGAGGAACGGGAGATGCAGCAGTGGGGCCATGTCCCGTCTGGTCACCTTTAGTCCTGCCACCGACTGTGGGCTGCTGCCCCTTCTCCCCAGCAACTGGCGCAGCTGAGACCTGCTGGCCCTGGCAGTGTAACCCCAGGGCCCCCCACAGCCAGGGTCCTGCTGCGAATGCGGCACTGGGGAGGTGGCTCCCGTGGCTCCCGTGGCTCCCGTGGCTCCCACAGATCCCACAGCTCCTACTCACTGTAGTGACAGGACTCCTCGCACAGCGGGGCCGAGTACTCGGAGAAGGTGGCGTTCCAGCGCAGCTCCCGCGACTTGGTGTCATACATGGTGATGACGTACTCTGGGCACAGGAGCAGGGCAGGAGGTCACCTCCAGTGCCCCATTCCTGGGACCGGGCAGGTGGTCAGGGTGCAAGGCTCCCTTACGGGTCCGGCCAATGTAGAGCAGGGGGCTGGATGGGCACAGGCCATCCCAGGCCTCTGTCGAGAGGGTGGTCTGCTTCTCCCCTGACTTGGGGTCCACGATGAACCAGGTGTCCTGCTTCTTCCCTGAGAAGGAAAATACCTTTTCTCCAAGTCCCCGCAGCCCTGCCCATCCCCGAGAGCACCCGCTGAGCTCCTGCCCGGTGCCCTCCATGACTCCCGGGAGCCCCTGGTTGACCCCTCCTCCCCAGGGCCTTCCATACCGGTGTAGAGCACCCCATCCGAGCTGCGGCACGGGGAGGACTGGACCAGCTCCGGGATAGTGAACGGCAGCTTCTGCAACACCCACAGAAGAATGGATGCAGGACCACAGTCACCTCCCCCTGCCTGGTGAACCCCAGGGGGACACGAGATGCCCACAGCCCCCCAGCCTCACTGACCATCAAGCCTTCTTTGTTCTTTCCTCCCAGGATATACAGGCTGCCGTCATTGGGGTCTGGAAGGAATGCCGGCCTGGGAAGGAGGAGACCCTGTCTGTCACTCCAGCAGTTACTGGGGAGGCTGCACACCCTGGGGCCTCCTGCTCTGCCCACCTGCCCATGGGGATGACACTCACTCTGCCACATACACCGGCACCTGCAGAATGGGATCTGAAACAGAGTGAGAGGCGACGTCAGCAGCGCTCCGGTGTGCGGGACAGCGCGGCACTGCTGGCTACCCGGCGTGGCACTGTCACCCAGCGTGGCACTGCTGGCTACCCAGAGTGGCACTGTCACCCAGCGTGGCACTGCTGGCTACCCAGAGTGGCACTGTCACCCAGCGTGGCACTGTCACCCAGCGTGGCACTGCTGGTTACCCAGCGTGGCACTGTCACCCAGCATGGCACTGCTGGCTACCCAGCGTGGCACTGTCACCCAGCCCACTGTCACCCAGTCATGCAGTCTGTTTGCATTTCAGACCCAGAACAGACACCGACAGAAGATGCTCACCCATGCTTGGCCATGCCTGAAGCTGTGCCTGGGGCTGGGGCTGGAGAGCTCCCCAGGGCTGGGCACTGCTGGCCCAGAGCCCATCCAGCAAAAGCCAGGTGGGAGGTGCATCCCCAAACCCCAGACAGAGACAAGCTCTGGGAGCCAGGCTGTGAGCAAACCCCTGCCTCAGTCACTACTCACCATCCTTCAGCGTCCACTTGATGTCCCCTGTGCTCTTGCTGACGGCGTGGAGGTTCCCATCCAGCGTGGAGACAAAGAGCAGTGTTTCTGGGACAGTCACAGCACCACCTTTGAGGCACTAGGACAGACACACCACCCTTGAGAGCTCAGCCAGACTTGGGAATGAGCTCACATCTTGGGTCCTCTGTGCAGCTCAGCCCCTGCACCCAGCATCCCACAGAGGTGGGGCAGAGCCCCACAGTCCTTCTGCTCCCCAGCAAGGTGAGACTGGGAGGGAAAGAATTTGCTTCCTTGCATCAGCATATTAAATCTGCTCATTCCTCCAGTTCACCCGCACAGGACATCACACAGCCTCACCTGTTGCTGGCTGCTCAGAGGTGCTGTGTGCCATAAACCCCTGGCCAGCGGTCCCAGCACTGGGGCAGCTGCACTCGTGGTGACTGGCACCACCACCCCCCGCAGTCTCTGGCCTCTGCAGCATCGCTCACATCCCACCAGAGCAGCCCTGGGGTGGGAGCAGACTTCATCCTCCTCGTCCCAGAGCCAGCTACCCCGAGTGCCTTTCTAAGGTGACATGAGCAGCCCAACTGTCAGCTCCTTCCAGAAACAAACGAGTTGGGTGACTTTTCATGCCAGAGGCACGATGATTGCTCGGCCAGGCCTTCAGAGCTGCAGGTTTCAGCTACCTGACATTGAGGAAGTAATTGCAAATTCACCTGGGAAAAGGAGCTGCTGCTTCCACGTATAGCACCTGCATAGCGAGCGCCAGCCCAGCCAGTGGCACACACATCAGCCTCACCCCATTGGCAAACAGGAATCAGCAAACAGCGCCGGCACGCACATGGCTCCGGCAGTCCCTGGCGCCAGGGACTCGGGAGCAGCACCTGAGCTCCTGGCTGGCCACAGATCCAGCGTGGGAAGCCCAAGGACACCTCTCAGACCTGCTCCCCCCACAGCCCCTCACTGCTCTGGGAGCCTGAGCTGGCAGAATCCGGCCTGAGGACTTGGCCAGGCTGTGGAGCAGGGAGAGGCTCCAGCCAGTGCCCACATGTGAGCAGGTGCCCATCTGCAGAGCAGAACCCAACGGTACCAGAGTGGTCGTGGCACGGTGGGGTCAGGAGATTCCTCCAGGTGCAACAACACAGTCAGCACTCCCAACAGGAGCCAGGTCACCTGGAGCACGCGTCAGCTCCCTCTCACCACACCTCACACGAACCTCTCTGTCTCCAGTCCAGTTCTTTTATTTGCCTTTCTTCTTGCTTTATTTTCAGGTGAGGTCAGAGCAAGTTTTCCAGCCCTGACTTTGCCCAGAGGATGTGGTTGGGACGGGCAGGGAAGGGGACTGCTCCCCACTGCCGCTCCTCCAGCCCCTGCAGCCACACAGGGCTCTCAGGGACAAGCCAGGCCGGCAGACACGGGGCTCCTGTGGTGTGGCCACCTGCCCGGGGGAAACCGAGACTGCCGGGCCCCCCCGGCCGTCAGTGCTGTCAGGGCTCTGTGCTTCCTTCCCCCGGTGCTCTGTGGTTTCCTCCATCTCTTCTACAAAATGTTGTGTTTTGGTGACAGGGCACTCAGGGAAAGGCCCAGCTGTCCAGCCTGCTCCCCACACACCACTGTGGGCAGAACTGGGAGCACTGGGTGCCTGGGAGCTGCCACGCTCCCTCTGCTTCCATCCCTGGCTGCCCCAGCGGCCCTTCTGGCCAGCCCCAGCCCAGAAGTGTGCCTGTCGTTCCCATGGGATGTTCCCAGGACTGTGCTTTCCCGAGACTCCCACCACAGCACCCTGGAGTCTTCAGCGATGCTACTGGGGCCAGACCTCGGCTGTAAGCTCAGGGACACTCGCTTCCCCCAGGACAGAGGGGGACAGCCAGGCACAGACAGCCACAGGGCACCAGCATCTGCCGCTTCCTTCACTGGAGCAGCTCTGCTCATGTCATCCAGAGCCACCCTGGCACGCTGCCCTCTCCACTTGAACCACCACCAGCTGCAGGACCTGGATCCGGCTCCGAGGGCACCACCCTGCCAGGCAGCAGCTCTGCGGGCAGGGCCAGGCAGGAGGGGGCCAAGGGCGCCCAGGGAAGGGGACTCGCTCCCGACCGCAGCCAGGCCCAGAGGTGGGGATGGAGAACAACCTCCGTGGCTCCCTCGCACAGCGGCGATGGCCACGGGACCCCCCACGCCAGAACTCTGGCCCCGCGGGCACCGCGGCCCCTTTGCCCACACCACGTACCCCCCTCTGTGTGCCGGACCCCGCGCCCACCGGAGCTGCACCCACGCGGCTCGGGGACCCGCGGGGCCGCCCCTGCCCGCACTGTCACACCCGGGGAACACGAACTCTGGCGTGTCGAAGCCCTCCCGCAGGACACGCGGGGCACAGCGAGCACAGGCACCCGCGCAGGAACCATGCGGCCACCGCACTGTCCCCCTCGATCTTCCCTCAACACTGTCCCCGCACAGCACTGTTCCTCCACTCACTGTCCCCTCACACAGCACTGTCCCCTCACACAGCACTGTCCC